GACGCCCCAAGAGGCCGTTAAGCGAGCCCCGTCCCGTTCCCTCAGGAGGATGCATATTTGTCACATCCGCTTTATGGGTCTTCGCAGCGTCCAAGACGGCCCGATGGGCCCCCGATATCGCCCCAAGACGGCCCAAGAGGCCCCCCAGAGGGTTTGAAGACGGCCCAAGAGGGCCCCACGACTGCCCCAGAGAGCCCTGAGACTGCCCACAGTAAGCCCAAGATGCCCCAAGAAAGCTCCCAAGAGAGACCCACGAAAGCAATGGAAGACCACCGCGAAGGCCACTGGAGGGCGCCAACAGGGCCCTAGATGGCTCTGGAAGACCGCCGGAGGGTCCTAGCTCCCCAAGACGGCCCAAGAAGGCCCCAGGACTGCCGAAGAGGGCCCCAGGACGGCCCAAAAGAGCACCAAAAACGCCCAGACGGCGTTCTCCTACGAAGTACATCGAGCTGACCCGACGATCTTGGTTCCACGCTTGAGGCTCGAGGTTCAAATTCCTCGATTGAGAGAGACAGGCAACGAATGGATCTAGATTCGAAAGTCGACGATCGAATACTTTCTGAATGCCTGGAGCCCTCCAGGCATACAGGAAGCGACCCACAATCGATTTGTTCGGAGCAACTGCGACTTCTTCGGCGTGTCATGGGAAAGCTCCTTACTTTTTTAAAGGATCTTCGCACGTGCAAAACATCATCATTTCTTCCCCAATCCTGCGCACAAGCGTGCAAGCGCATCGGGCGAACGCGGCGTCAGCAGGCACCAGGGCTATCAGAAAATTGACCGGTCGCCCGTCCAGGCCTCGAGGTCCCCCCTGTTGAAGCAAGCGATGATGTATTACTTTGCCGGGGAGGGTCCGGAACAAGATTGCATTGGCGCGAAGCGCCAGTGCAGTCTTACATCTATATTTATACACACACACACATCCCTGGGGGAGGGGTCGGGACCTTGAGGGCCGCGCATTGAAGACCACATCGTGAGATGTCTTGAGGCGCAGGACCGCGAAAAACACGACTCGGGACAAACAGACGGCCCGGGGGAACGGGTCGAGACTTCCGGGTGTCCCGTCATGAACAACTCAGGACGCCAGATGTCTGGAAGGGGGGGGCTGGGCGAGGAGACAGGCTGAGAGGGAGTATAAGAGGAGGCCGGGGGGGAAGCATCGGCGATACATGCCAACAGATCGGTGGATAGCGAATCCGCGTATTCCTTGGCGGGATGGGCTATCAGGCCCCTAATTATCGGCGATCAATGGGGCGATTGGGGGTCGATGCATCCCCCCCTAAAGCTCGACGATCAACGGGCGATTGGAGGTCGACGCATCCCCCCCTGAGCCTATCCCCCCCTAACGCTGCCCCTCAGGGGGGAGGAGGAGGAGGAGGAGGAGGAGGAGGAGGAGGAGGAGGAGGAGGAGGAGGAGGAGGAGGAGGAGGAGGAGGAGGAGGAGGAAGAGGAGGAAGAGGAGGAGGAGGAGGAGGAGGAGGAGGAGGAGGAGGAGGAGGAGGAGGAGGAGGAGGAGGAGGAGGGGGAGGGGGGGGCTCCCCAGCAGGGATCGGGAACTCGCCAGTCGGGCCTCTTGGAAAGGCAGGAGGGCCTCGCAGAGGGGGGCCCAGAGGCCCCTTCCAGGGCCGCCGACGCCGTGTGTTTGCGCCATGCTCGGCCGCAGCCGGTCCCGAGCCCTCCCCCACGGGCTTGCGCTTCTGAAGGGGCCCCAGGACACACAAATAAATACACACAAAAAACATATTCCTCATATTTTCTCACAGTTTCTGGGGTTTTGTCTTCCCCCCCTCTTCCAATGTTCCCATATTTTCTTTCATGAGAGTCCGCCGACCCCTTGTGGGTCCCTAGGCGTGTGAGATAGTTCCCCCCCTACAGTCCCCCCCCCAGGGACCCCAAACTGGCGATTTGACCCCCCCCCCATGGCCCCGCCCGAGCGACTCACGGAGCTTCTTTGGGCTCAAAAGTCTCTCAAGGCGGCCCAAGAAGGCCCCAAGACTCCTCCAAGACGGCCCACGAGGGCCCCGAGACGCCAAACGAACGTTCCAAGGCGCCCAAGATGGCCCCAAGACGGGCCAAGAGGCCTCCAAGACGGCCCATGAGGCCTCCAAGAGCAGTTCTCAGAAGGGCCGAAGAGCCGAAAATCTTCAAATTCCTATGGAAAACGTACATTTTGATCATATACGGCTTCTCGGCCTTCACGGCGTTGAACACGGTCCAAGAGCACCCCAAGACCGCCCCAAGACGGCCCAAGAGGCCCCCAACACGCGCCCAAGTCCGCCCAAGAGGGCGCCAAGACAGCCCAAGAGGCCCCCAGGACGGCCCAAGAGAGCCCCAAGACGGCCCCAAGAGGGGCCCAAGAGAGGGAGCCCGAACTGACATCCCGAGCCTTCCGCCCCGAGACGGCCCTAAAAGGCCCCGAGAGGCCCCAAGAGGCCCCCAAGACGCCCCCAAGAGGCCCCACGAGGCCCCCCAAGAGGCCCCAGAACGGCCCCAAAACGGCCCCCAAGAGGCTTCGAAACTGCCTCCAAGAGTCCCGCGAGAAGCACCACCAGAGATCCCAGCGATCATCGCACAAGCGGGATTCGCGCTCCCGAGGCGAAGAATTCCAAAACCATGACCCAGAACATTTCCTCCGCGCCCCCCTCCTCCTCCCCCTCACCCGCCTTGTCCACGTCGGCCCCCCAGTGGCGTCAAAACTGCTTTCCAGAGGCCCCCGAAAGGAGTGCCGCGAAATTCCGATACACATACAAGAACCTCTCACCCAAAGACCATAACCCAGAGCCTCCTCTCAGTGTCCCCCTCATCCTCCTCCTCAACCACCCTCTCCTCGTCCCCCTCCTCCTCGTCCCCCTCCTCTTGTTCATGGCCCGTCACCTCGACACGTTCGATGATTCTCCCCTGTGTCCTCCGCCTCACCCCCCATTCTCCTGTCCTCGTTCTCCTTTTTCCTCAGCGCGCGCGCCCGATTCGGCATCATTTGCAGGTCTTGCACTTCAGAGTGCCTTTTTTTGCGTCGCGCGGGACATTGTGAGGGTCGGGGAACGCCGACTTCGGTAGTCTTCTCTTGCACGCGCCGCTGCACTGATACGCCTGGCAACTGCGGGCTGTGAACCCGAGTGCCGCGCAGCTTCCGCACACCACCTTTTTTTGATTCGACCATCGATGATGTTCTTTTTGGCTCTGCCTCAAATGTTTCGTGTCTGAGAACGCTCCTCCGCACGCCGCGCACGTCAGCGGCTTCGCTTCCGCCTCGGCTCTCCGTTTCCTATTATTGGACTCAAGCGTCGTCCTCTGACGTTCTTCCGCGCATTTCCGACAAGACGGCACCAAGAGGGGCCCAAGAGGGCAACCAAAAATTCAAAAATCTAGCTTCCCGCCCCCACGAGCCCCAGGGGGCCCCAAGAGTGCCCCAAGAGGCCGCCAGAGGCCCCCAAGAGGCCGCCAAGACGCCCCAAGGAGCCCCCAAGAGGCCCCCAGGAGGCCTCCAAAAGACCACCAGACGCTTCCGCATTGCGAGCCGTCAAGCCAACTGCAATGCACTCCGCGCATGCAGCCTTGCTCTTCCTCGCGACGTGCTCACAATCTTGCTCGGCGCTGTGCTACGCGACGTGCTGCTGCTACGCGAACTGTTTCGTGCGCGCTGCGAACGTCAACAGCCTCTTCACCCGTTTCGACTCATCTGCCACATCTTTCGCGGTGATGCTTCGCTGATCACAGCTTCCGCACGCTACTCTTGCTCCTTTCGTCTTCCGGTGCTCCTCCACTTGGTTGAGGAGCGAGAGGCCGACCTCCCAGAAGGACACCCCGCACCCGGGTGCACAGCACGCAAAGCGCTCGCAAAACACGCCCCAGACCACCGGCATCACGCAAACATGTGGACCCCCTACGTATCTGCCACCACCCGCGCGCGACACCGCACCCTCACACAAGACGCCGCTGGCCAGAAACTCCTGGCCTCGCAACAGTCACAGAAGGGGTCGGCGAAAGTGGCGTAAGCCTGTAGAATCGACGATTAATTATGTCTGTGTGTTTCTTCCCCTCCTGATCTTCGTCTCTCGCCGGCAAAAGCACAGACTGTCGGAGGGCCGCGCGGATTTCTGGGATCGGCGCGGGACCCCCCTGGCGGCGCCCCTGGCGACGCCGAGGTCGGTCGAGGGAAAGCGCAAGGACTGAAGAAAAAGTCACGTGGTCCGACCCTGGCCCTCCTGGAAGGCTCTGGGCGAGGCGCAGCTGCTGGAAAGCATCCCGAAGGCGAGAAACCCTCCGGGAGCTAACGAGCGAACCTCCAATAGGACGAGACCGATCGAGGAAGAGCGCCGGGACTGGGGAAAGCTTGGTGAGAAACCCTCCAGGAACCAACGAGCGAACCTCCAAGAGGCCGAGATCCATCGAGGACGAACGCCGGGACTGGACGACGGGGCCACGGGGCGCACAAGCACATAGACACAAATCCCAGGATCCTCACACTTTCCAGCGTTTCCTGGATGCTCCCCTTCCCCCCCCACACTTCCTACCTTCTCCACACCTTCCCTGGGAGTCGGCGGGTCTCTGTGCCTGTGTGGCTTCGCCCCTCCTGGGAGCAGGCCCTGCCCCCCCGAGGCCCCGGGCTTCTGCCCGCGGCGCCCGCCTCGGCTGCAGCGCCTCCCACGCGGCGAGCACCTCCGGGAGGCCGCGCCCGCCCGCGGCCGGCCGGCCCTCGCCGCCGCCCAGCCCCTCGCCGCTGGGCGCCCCCGCCGCGCCGCGGGGCTCCGGCGGGCCGCGGCCGCCGCCGCGGGCGCCGGGGCGGCGACGTCGCCCTCGGCGGCGGCGGGCCCCTCCGCAGGGGGCGCGGCCGGCTGCGGGTCCAGCGCCTCCGCGCCCGGCGCCTCCGCGCCGCCCGCGCGGCGCCGCTTCTTCGGCTCGGGGCTGCGGCGGGGCGCGTCGGGGGCCATGGCCGCCCTTTGAGCCCCCCTGCCGGCGCTTCGGCTCGGCGCGCAGCGGCTTGGCCAAGCGTGGCCGCTTCTCCTCCTCCTCCTCCTCCTCCTCCTCTCTCCCTCCTCCTTCTCCGCCCTCCGCCGCCTCCTCCTCCTCCTCCCTCCAGCTCCTACCTCCTCCTCCCCTCCTCCTCCTTCCTCTCTCTTTCTCTGCCTCGCCCCTTCTCCTCCTCCTCCTCCTCCTCCTCCTCGAGAACGGGGGATTGTGGAGCCCCTCGGTGTTGAAGGCGCGCGCGCGAGGCTTTCGCACTGGATTCGCGCGCGTGTCTTTGAATGGTCTGTGTGCTCTGTGACGTCCTCTTCTCTCCCCCTCCTTCGTCCTCTTCTCCTCTTCTCCTCCTCTCCTCCTCTCCTCCTCCTCCTCCTCCTCCTCCTCCCTCTCCTCCTCCTCTCCTCCTCCTCCTCCTCCTCCTCCTCCTCCTCCTCCTCCCCTCCTCCTCCTCCTCCTCCTCCTCCTCCTCCTCCTCCCCCTAAAAAGAATTATCCCAGCGCGACCCTACCTCGCAGTTGGAGCCCCTAGGAAAGCAGCATTAGTAGTATCAGTGAAGCTAAGCTAAAGCTAAGCTAAAGCTAAGCTAAAGCTAAGCTGAAGCTAAGCCAAAGCTAAGCTAAACCTAAACTGAAGCTAAGCTGAAGCTAAGCTAAAGCTAAAACTAAGCTAACACTAAGGTAAAGTTAAGCTGAAGCTAAGCCAACGCTAAGCTAAATCTAAGCTGAAACGAAGCTAACGCTAAGCTAAATCTAAGCTGAAGCTAAGCTGAAGCTAAGCTAAATCTAAGCTAAAGCTAAGCTAAAGCAACGCTGAAGCTAAGCTAAATCTAAGCTCAAGCTAAGGTAAAGCCAAGCTACACCTAAGGTAAAGCTAAGGTAACTCTAAGATAAAGCCAAGCTAAAGCTGAGGTCAAGCTAAGGTAATTCGAAGCTAAAGCTAAGTTAAAACTAAGTGACAACTAAGCTAAAGCTAAGCTAAAACTAAGCTAAAGCTAAGCTAAAGCTACAGCTAAAGCTAAAGCTCCCAAGGGATTGGGGGAACCGCGGGGCGGATACTGGGGGAACCGCCCGGGGCGGGCCCCACTGCCCGGCCCTTTAAGCTTCCGAGTAAGAACCCTTCTAGGCAGAGCCTAGGTAGGGAATCAATGCAAGTTTTTCGGTTTTTGGTGTGCCCCCCTCCCCCCCGTGAAAGAAAAACAAAAACACATATATGTTTTGTTGGTGTGTGTGGGGGGGGGGGGCAGAGGAAATTCCTCTCCCTCCTCCTCCTCCTCCTCCACCTCCTCCTCCTCCTCTCCTCCTCCTCCTCCTCCTCCTCCGCCTCCTACTCCTCCTCCTCCTCCTAAAAAGAATCAGTGTATTTTTTTTCCGGTTTTTGGTGTGCCCCCTCCCCCCCCAACACATAAAAAAACAATCAAACAAAAACTGGGCGTTTTTTTAAGGGGGGGGGCAGAGGAAATTCCTCTCACTCCTCCTCCTCCTCCTCCTCCTCCTCCTCCTCCTTCCCCCAAAATCTAGCTTTTGCTATTGAGATGCTCCGAAAGGAAAAACTACCCCGCTTGGCATTGCATTGGCATTGGTTTGGCCATGGTTTGGCATCGCATTGGCACTGCGTTGGCATAGCAATGGGCAGTGCGTTGGAATTGCGCTTGCATGTCGCAAGTCTTGCGCTGGCGGGTCCTAATGGAACCCTCCAGAAGAGGACTCCTATTGAAACCCTCTACCAGAAGGATTCCTGCTGAAACCCTCCACCAAAAAGGGTTCATCCAGATTGAAACCCTGCAAAGTAGGGTTCCATGCGAAGCCCCCCCCCCAAACAATACATTCCAATTGAAATCTATCAAACATGCTTTTCCCCCATCGGTATTGCATTGACATTGGGTTGGGGCCGCCTTGGCATTCAGTTGGCATTGCGTTGGCACTGCTTTGGCATTGCGCTGGCAAGTTCAAATAGCTCCCTTCGCAGAATGATTCTTTTCGAGCCCCACACGAAAAAGATTTCGATTGAACCATTCCAGAAGAAGGGTTCGCATTGAACCCATCCGAAGCCCTCCATAGGAGTCCTGTTGAAACCGACCACAAGATTTTTTCCCCCATGCATTTCATTGGGATTGGGTTGGGGTTGCCATGGCATTGATGTGGCATGGCGTTGGCACTGATTTGGCGTTACGCTGGCGAGTTCGAATGGCTCCCACCATAGAAGGACTCCTATTGAAACCTTCCGCACGAAGGGTTCGTTTTGAAAGCCCCCGCCTGAAGGGTTCATGGTTCAAGCCTCCACATAAAGATTCCTGCCGAAACCCTCCACAAGGAGATTCCTATCGACATCCTCCGACGAAGGATCCGTAACCAAATCATCCACATCAGGACTTCTGTTGGAATCTGTTGAGTGGAGCCACGCCATCGGTATTGCATTGGCAGTGGTTTGGTAACAATTTGGCATCGCATTGGTATTGCGTTGGCATTGCGCTGGCGAGTCCCAACCAAACGCTCCACATAAAAGGGTTCGGGTTGAAGACGTCCACAAGAATGGTGC